GACCCGGGGCTGGGGCGCGGGGAGAAGGCTGATGCTGGGGCTGCCACCCGCAGGGTCTGGAGGAGGCGACGCAGCCCAGCCCCTGTCCAGGACTCGTGGGGTGAGAGGTGAGCCCGGACCGCGTGAAGTGGGGGTGCTTTAGAGGTAGAGACGGCGTGGGGTCAAGGGTGGTGGGTGGACAACCACGGCGAGGGGGTGCACAGTGGGGAGAACAGGTGCGCGGTGGGGAGGCGGGGCCATCGGGAGGGCCCTGTGGACGCCCGGGTCGGGGGTCACGGGGGAATGGGGAGCGCTCAAGGCTGTGGGACTGAGAAGAGAAGGGGTTCCCAGAGGAGGAGGAGGCCCAGGGGCCCCAGCGTGGGGGAGGGGTGGCCACCGCGGACCCTGAGAGCCCTCGCTGGGGGGGTGAGACGATGCCCAGTCTTGAGTGGGCTGCCCCGACGGGGCTGGGCCCCTAAGCAGGTCGGCCTCGGGGTGCCTAGGTTTGCAGAGCGCGCAGAGGACAGTGCCGGTTGGGTTAGCAGGAGGCCATGTAGGCTGGGGTCCGGCTACTACTGGTCCAGGGCTGAGGGCACGCAGCCTGCAGCCCAGGCCCAGGGCAGCCACTTGATGGCTGTGTGGCCCCAGCTCGTCACTTCGCCACCGCGTGTCCGCTTCCTGGTCGGCAGCAGGGAGTGGGCAGCAGCGCTGCTGCAGGTGTGCGCGAGGGTCCTTCGCGTCAGAGGCTTAGAACAGTCCCTGGAGCAACAGACAAGTTGCTGTAATGCTAGTGTTGAAAGAAGGTCTTTAGGCTCCTTCCTTTAGTTCTGTATCACAAGTCAAGTTCAGGCCCTTGAATCCTGAGTCCTGCTGCCCGAGGCAGGAGGCCCGCCTGCAGCTCTGAGCTCTCCACCCAGCGTGGGGTGTTGGTGCGGGGACCCAGGCCTGCGCCCTGAGAGCCCCGAAGACACAGGACGCGCCCAGGGAAGCTCCAGGCGGGAACTGGTTTCCTGAATGCCTCCTGTTTGATCCTCAGCTACACGTTGCTTTTCCTGTAGCTCCTTCATGCTCGCTCAGCGCGTGTCGTGTTAACTGGTCCCCTAAGTGGCTGAACTCAGGTGCCCCGGGAAGCTGCCCCGTCTGTCCCGCCTGGGGGCGCTCCTGTGCAGATCCTGTGCCCGGGGCTGGCTGTCCAGTGTCTGGTACTGTAGGTGCCTGTCAGTGGGCACAGCCTCCGGGGGCCTGGTAGGAATCCGAGTTTTGTATTCAGGCCCCTCCTGGAGGCCGCAGCCTCTACCAGCTTCCCTGGCCCTGTCTGCACCCACCCAGGTGCTCTCAGCCAGTGCCTCCCTCACCGGGCCACTCGTCCCTGCAGCGCAGCCCCCAGCCTGGCCTGTCGCTGTGCCCTCCGCCCAGGGCTGCCCAGGGACGTCCCCGAGGCCGGGGAAGAGCCGCACGTTCTCCGGAGGTGAAAGTTGAAAGCAAACGGTGTTGTGTCCAGGTGCTCTTGGCCCTGGAGGCGGTGCTTGGGGTGGTCACTCTTCCCGCCTGTCCTTGTCCTCGGGCTCCAGGATTCTGAAGATGGTCTCCCTGCCCAGCCAGGTGAGGACACCGCACGTCCTTGGCGGTCCTCAGAAATCTAACCGCACCAGCTTCAGGCTCAGCAGAATCCCCATCGCAGCTGGTACAGGCCCCGCGTGCAGCGACCGCCCTCCAGCGGTGCAGCCACCCTCTGCTCCAATCTGCACTCCTCAGGGTGGCCAGGAAGAGGGGGCACCTCTGTGTGTTTACTGTCAGCCCTGCCCAGACAGCCCACCCCGGAGCCCCCTGCCCCCTGCGCCAGGCAGAACGTGGGACCAGCCTGCTGGCCTGAACCCCTGGGGCCCGGAGCCCAGGGCCAGCTGGAGCCCAGCCCTCAGCTGCCTCCCAGGG